CGGCCGACGCCACGTCAGGCCCAATCAAGCGCAGAAGAAGCAGAGAGCCGCTTTCGCCTCCCGAAAAAGCCACCTCAAAAGACGCTACCGCCATTAATTAACCATAGGAGAGAAATAACCCCCGATTCCTTCCGAGCAAAGGAACTGGGCACCAAGCCCGCCACGGTCCAGGGTTCAAGGTGGGCCCTTAGGGGTTTCGGCATGGCCGCCTGTGGCAACAGAGTCGGGGGCACCACGGGGCGAGCCTACACAAAGCCGAGGCCCAAGCAAGCTAAACGCTTGGGACGCCTGTGTGTTGTGTCCGAGATCTGGCAGGAGGTCTCCGAATGGGATCCCACCGTAGAGAGGCACCGAGCCACCGAGGCCCAATAACGGCCTCGGCACCCACTAGAGAAACCCTCCGGTACTCTTGGAGCGCGTCTCCGGACCGCTAGCCGACCCCAATGAACGGGTACGGGCCTCCACTCGGACTTACCCGATAATGACTCACCGGAAGTGCCATCGCTCGCGCCCACCGAGGGTAGTGTGGCACATTCCACCCTCCTTCCGAGCGAAAAGGAAGCGCGAGGGTCGAATAAAAGGTCGAGGAGAATCACGACGGCCCTCTTGCTCGTCGCAGTGAGGCTAAGGGACTCTTCCCGCAAAACGCGTTGCGAGGCCCGGCTGACTTGAGCTCGCAGACACGAGGGGTCTCGGCAAAACCAACCCTCCTTCCCGAAGCGAAAAGAAAGCGCGAGGGTCGTTCAAAAAGCCGGAAGAACTCCCGACGGCCCTATTGCTCGTCAAGTGCAGAGGCTACGAGCTCCTTACTAAAAGACGCCGAGACCCATGACCTAGGCTCGCACCCGAGGGGGGCTCGGCAGTCCGACCTCACTCCGCGAGGGGCGAACCAAAAGCCGGGGGACCTTCGACCGCTCTCTCGCTCCGTGCGAGAGACCTGGGCTCCTCCTCACGCAACTTTGCCGAGACCAGCTGCTCAGCTCGCACACGAGTGGGCTCAAGAATGCACCCCCCCGTCCGAGCGAAAAGGATCAAGGGGACGGGCAAAAAGTCGGGAGGACCCTCGACCGCCGCCCTCTCGCCTCCGTCACGGAGGCTCGGGGCTCTTCCTGCACCCAAGATAAAAACAAGCGACCCGATCCCGTTCACGGTCGGGGGTTCGAAAGCTGGGCCCCGGGGTTTCGGCAATGCCCCCAGGCAAAAGAGTCAGGGGGCGACTACGGGCGAGCCTGCACTGAGCACGCATACATGTTGTGTCCGAGACCGGTAGGGAGGTCTCCGAATGGGATCCCACCGTAGGGAGGCACCGAGCCACCGAGGCCCAGTGAACGGCCTCGGCACCCACTAGAGAAACCCTCCGGTACTCTTGGGAGCGTCTCCGGACTGCTAGCCGACCCCCCAGTGAACTGGGGTACGGGCCTCCACTCGGACTTACCCGATAACAGCTCACCGGAGATACCATCGCTCGCGCCCACCGAGGGTAGCATGGCATCTTTCACCCCTCCTTCCGAAAGCGAAAAGGAAGCACGAGGGTCGTGACAAAAAGCCGGAGAACTCCCCCGACGGCCCTCTCGCTCAAAGCGGAGGCTAAGGGCTCTTTTCCGCAACATCGCCGAGGCCCCGCGATCCGAACTCGCACCCACGGGCCCGGCAAACACGATCAAAACGCCTCACTCGAAGAGAAAAAGCCCTCAAGAAGTGAAATCACTCCTCCAGGGCCTGGGGGCTACACTCCGTGGTGCACTCACACGCACCCACGAAACCTCGAAAACAAAACACCATCCCGACAGGAGCTATCAAGAGCCAATTCTCGTCGAACCTCGGGGAGTGCCTCCACCCCCAAGGCTCTGGGGCCACTTGTCGGACACCGTGAGAAGGGTACCCTAAGCAAGATCCAAAAAAACGATCGCTTAGATTTCAGAAGATCGAAACCAGCTAAGCTGGCTGCCGGCCTCGACCGATTCTCGACTCGGCCCGAGGCCCCCATCACTGCATGGGCCTCGGCCGATTCTCCGACTCGCCTGAGGCCCCATCACCGCTGGCCTCGGCCGATTCTCCGACTTCGCCCGAGGCCTCATCATCCTCATGGGCCTCGGCCGATTCTCCGACTCGCCCGAGGCCCCATCATCGCTGGGCCTCGGCCGATTCTCCGACTCGCTTGAGGCCTCATCACCATGGACCTCGGCCGATTCTCCGATTCGCCCGAGGCCCCCTCACCACGGGCCTCGGTCGATTCCCCATAAAGGCCTCGGCCGAGGCCACCGACCCTCCGTCTCGCGCAAGGCGGGCTCGGCAAGACTCCGCTACCTCTTCCTTCTCCCGTCCCCTCTGGCAAAACGTCAGGTCGCATCAACTCAGCCTGCGCCTTCGACAACGAAGATGCATGCAGCGACAAGACAAATGAGAATGGCGATGGGACAGAGGCGTGGATCTGGCGGGGGTTACCCGCCATTGTACTAACCACCGTGCACATGGGTTGACGCCCATGCCTCACTATCTCGCCAACTCTGCACCGAGGACAATGCAGCGTGGGGAGCCACATCTGGCTCATGTGGCCTCGGAATCGCACCAGGGAGCAATAATTCCCTCCAAGGCCTCGGCTAGCTTGCTCCGAGGGCTCGACAAACGGCCGAGGACCCATGTCCGCCAAAGCCCCCGCGATGGCTTGGCCTCGGCTCCTATAGAGCCACGAATTTCACGACGTCATCACGCGATGACTCACGACCCCCGGATCGGGCGGGGTTACCCGTCACTATGCTATCCACCGTGCACATGGGTTGACGCCCATGCCTCACTATCTTCGCCAACTCCCCGCACCGAGGACAATGCGGCGTGGGGAGCCACATCCGAGCCACTGTGGCCTCGGAATCGCATTACCAGGAGCAATAATTCCCTCCAAGGCCTCGGCAGCTTGCTCCGGGGCTCGACGGCCCGAGGACCCATGTCCGCCAAAGCCCCCGCGATGAGCTTGGCCTCGCTCCTACAGAGCCACGGCCCCTCACGACGTCATCACGCGATGACTGTGACGTCCCCGGATGGGCGGGGTTACCGTCACTATGCTATCCACCGTGCACATGGTTGACACCCATGCCTCATTTGGCCGCCAACTCCTGCTCCAAGGACAACGCAGCAGGGGGGAGCCACGTCTGAGCCATCTGTGGCCTCGGAATCGCATACCAGGCCAATAACTCCCCCAAGGCCTCGGCGGTTTGCTTCACGGGCTCGGCACTGAGGGTCCATGACCACCGAGCCCCCACGATGGCTCGGCCTCGGCATCTGCAGAGCCGCTGCTCCCCACGACGTCATTACACGGCGACCAAAGACGTCGCCCGCCATGTCCGCATCAAGCCGTCAGCATGGATGTAACATCCGATGGGCCAAGTGGGCCCAATCCGGTAAATAATGGGCGGTGTCGTGAAAGCGTAACATGGGCCGAATCTTGTAGCATCCAAAGCGGGTTTCATTCACCGAGCAATCGTTCATCCGAGAAGTGGGCGGTGAAAAATCGGTGGTACTGTTCACGGGTTCTTGTAGCACCGCGAAACACCGTGGCAACGAGTTTAGTCCCCATATGGAAATCCCGAATTCATTTGGATCGACTTAAATACCAGGCGTGGGGGCGTAGTAACCTTGGTTAACCGTTTTTGAACAAGCGAGGAGGAAAGTTCAAGCGGGTTGCTACGCTGGTCGGACCACTCCCTAGGAAGAGTGAGAGGGTCAGGGCCATGTATGTCGGGATCGGGACGTTACACCGGAGCCCCACGACGCACAAGACCGAGTATGACCAGCATGTCACTTCCGCACGACAAGGATGGGGCCACTCCATCGACCATACCACAACAGTGGCCGACCACTACAGGGCTCGGACACGCCACCCCATTTCTGAAGCACTATGTAGCACTGCAGCACGGTCCAGTCCTCCTTAGAGTATAAAAGGGAGGGATCGGGGCCATTTCTAAGAGAGGGCAAAAAAGACGAACACGCCGAGTAGAACCACGCACTCTCACGCTGCTTGGGAACAACGCCTCAAGCGCCCGCACCACACTCGCCGAGACACGGGGCTAGTTCCTCTCTCACCTAGCTTGTAACCCCCTACTACGAGCACTCCGGTGCAAGGAATACAAGATCGATCTCTCGGACTGGACGTAGGGCCTCGATTGCCTGAACCAGTATAAACCTTGTGTCTCTTTGCGCCACCATCCGGGATTAGGGGCACGCAGCACAAATTCACTCGTTGGTTGAGGGACCCCCGGTTCCAAAACACCGACACTTAGGGTTTGTGCGGTTCGTGTCGATGTACCAATTCGACCGACCACTTTTTGTTTTTCCCTTTTGTTGAGTTTGTTCCCCGGTGTAATTGTTAGTCGCTGTTGTATCATTGTGCTCACTTTGGCCTTTCTTCTTTTTAATATAATCGGCAGATCTCCTGTCTGGTTCATTTCAAAAAGGAATTGGATGAACAATCCTTAGTTTTTGTTTAGAATTTTCCCTCAAGGTATTTTTTTAAGATGAAAGGAAGCTTTATTGGAAAACAAAGTTTCGAGCTATGTAACAAATCGATACATACAACTAATTTGAAATAGATTTTATAGGAGCATTCATATAAGAAAAAGAAATCTCATAACTTTCTTTCATTTTGTTATGAAACAATCATTTCAGGCTTTTGTAATCAAAACCACTCTGTTGGAGTCTTATTATAATTATAAATATACTCATTAATTCCCTCTTGCATATAATAATATAATAATAATAAATAAATGAGCTAGAAGATATGGATTTTGACCGGCGTGGACCACATTGTTATCACCAGGTCAGCAGCGCCTCGCCTCCCTGCCAGCACCTCCACGCAGCTGAATAGCTGATGCAGCCTCGCCTCCCTCGCCGGCACCTCCACGCAGCTGATGCACACCACAGAAAACAAACTGGGTGGCCGATAGATTAGTGAGGATGGAGATTCTCGTGAAAGCAGGTCGGCGGTCTCCAATTGCGGCGTGTACGCCATGGCCGGCGAATCCACATCTCGGAGGCTCCTCCGTCGGGACCGGCCGCGAAGACGGGTGAGTCCGGCCGCTGCAGACCTAGATGCTCCATGGGCTTAAACCGTGGGCGATTCTAGGGAGGTTTGGCTGGTTTTCCGTTCATCAAGAAACTGAAGCCAGCCACAGCACACAAGCGACGAACAAGCCAGCAAGTCCGGTGGTGGAAGCACAGGGTAACTGAAGCAGGAATTAATGCGAGGGAAATTCCACATCGCAAGGATGAACACCAAATCTTTGCAGCCGCCTGCATTCCGATCCCCGCTCCTCCCCCAATCCCCTTTGCCCCTGCTATAAATCCCCCCTTCCGAGATGGAAATTCCACATCGCAAGTCTGCTGCACTGCTCTTCAACCGGAAATCGCCTCGCTTACTTCGCTTGCCTCGCTTACTTCGCTTTTTCCTCTGTCTCTGTTGCTCGCCGGAGGTTCTCGGACGGAAGACACTGCAGAAGGTAAGAAAGTTCGAGTCTTCTCGGGTTCCTTGCGGGGATTTGGTGGTCGGCGGTTGCTTTCTTGGAACTGATCGTGTACGTTTTCGGTACAGGGGAAGAGATGGCCGCGGACACTTTCCCAGCGGGGCTGCGCGTGCTCGCCGTCGACGACGACCGCGTCTGCCTCAAGGTCCTAGAGAGGCAGCTGAAGTATTGCAACTACAACGGTGTGTGTTCTTGCCTTCTTAGCCGCCCCTATTTCCCCCGATTCCGTTGTGATACAATTTTGGTGGTGGGACGCAGTGACAATGCTGACGGACGCCCAGACGGCGCTGGACATGCTCAGGGAGAGGAAGGACGAGAACCAGTTCGACCTGGTGATCACCGACGTCTACATGCCCAAAATGGACGGCTTCAAGCTCCTTGAGCTCATCGGCCTGGAGATGGATCTCCCAGTCATCAGTAAAGCCCTTGCTCAAACTCATTTTCCCCATTTTTATGCATGGCATTCTTCTGATCGTGCAGACTGCAGAGAATAGCAATCATGAGAATTTGTAGTACTACCATTTTTGGATGTTGTTCTGGATAGATGCATTGAATGGATTGCTTATAACTCGGTTGGCACGCGATATCCGGTAGAGCTGCTGGTTATGAATGTTTGGGTAGGATATCAATAAATGGCACATATGCCAATCATAAGTCTTGATTTCGGGGGTGCATATGTTCAGATACAATCAAGCCAATGACTGTGTTACCGTTTGTGTTCTAGTTTTGTATGTTACTGTTTGTTCCTAAGTGCTAAGTACAGTGGAGCTGGCTACTTATTTTTGTCATTTGTAGCTTCATACTTACAGTTCGTTTGTAAGCACTGCATGGGAACTAAAATTTTTGTCCGTTTTCGGTGTCCATTAGACCGTTACTGTTTGTTCATAAGCGCTAGATGGTGTTGATTGACCTCTTAATGATATTGCTTTTGGTTTCATACGTTACGGCACATTCATTAGCCCTATGAAAAGTAAAATTGTTTTTGTACTTGTACGTGTCTCCATTTGTTCATAGGCAAGTCGATCTCTCATTGTTTTCAGTTTTAGTTTACATATATGTTACGGTTTCCCCTATATGTAATTGAATTTTGTTATTTGTAGTTTTGTGCATTACTGTTGGTTCATTGGACGAAAAGAAAATTGTTTCACCAAGAAAATCCTTCTGAAGTACCACCTTTGGTCAAAAATAATTGTCACATTTGACTTTGCACGGTTCTTGATGCGTTTTTTCACTAAAAGGTCCATGTGTATCTTTATGTTATGTGGCTGCTATGGTCACGAGGAAGAGAGGGGGGGCCGGCTGGGGGCCTTGCCCACGGCCGAGCAAGCGAGAAGGGTTTTCCTTCTAATTCTTGCTTGATTAGATTGATACATCTCCTCTCCTTATAGAGAGAGGCTTACTTGACCCCTAAGCAAGCGATCCTTATTGATAGGCTCGTGACATAGCCCAATCCCGCTTAATTCTCTCTCAATCACTCTTGCTAAGCTTCTATAGCAGCACTTGCTAATGATGTGCCCAGGATTCCCCTCAACTGGGCGCCAATCTAGCCAGTTTCCTGATTTGCTACCTCTAACAATACACCCCTCCTGGACAAGCAGCTCGTCCTCGAGCTACAACCTAACCAGCTCATAACAGTAACTCTACTCAACATAAACCTAACACCTAAAAATAAGCCGTTCACATCTCGGCTCATTTTATTATCCTCACCCCGACATAGATTTGGACTCTTTATTTTTGCTGCCTTCGGAATATAAGGTGGACACCATCCGCACGCTAGAGCTGCACGTGTAGAGCCATCTAGATCCCATGGCTCAGTCTGGCGGGTGTCGAGACCTGGGAGTGCTCGCAACAGCAACCAGCGAAGGTGCCCTCGTGGCGGCTGGTGGTGGAATGCGGCGGCGCTACGCGGTGCACGCCTGCCTGTGACCCCATGCCTTCTCCCCGCTGGATGGCTGCTGTTCCGCGCCACATAGGGAAGAGAGGAGGGCTTCCGATGAAGAACGGCGAGGAGGGGTGCGCCTCCCCTACCCCCAGCGTCGCAGACTTTGAGGTTGCCGCCCACGGGGGAAATTGCATGTCCGCCGCCCGCGGGGGAAACCACATGCCCAAGATCCCCGACGCAGCGGACGAGATCGAGGTCCTCCGCACGGCGATGCGCAACTTGAAGCAGCTGTGAAGGGGTGCGGTGCTGAATCAGCTGAAGATCGCGCATCTCCCGCACCCGCTGACATGCTAGGAGGTCGCGCGCAGCAGTCTGCAGCCGCACCGCAAGAGAGAAGGGTTTTCCTTCTAATTCTTGCTTGATTAGATTGATACATCTCCTCTCCTTATATAGAGAGACCCCTAAGCAGGTGATCCTTATCGATAGGCCCATGACATAGCCCAATCACCCCTTAATTCTCTCCCAATCACTCTTGCTAAGCTTCTATATTAGCACCTGCTAATGGTGTGCCCAGGATTCCCCTCAATTGGACGCCAATCTCACTTTCCTGATTTGCTGCCTCTAACACTTTAACCTCTAATTTGTTGTAGAATATTTCTTAAAATTCTTCAAATTCACGAGGCTTTGCAAGTGTTTTGAATACAAATCTTACATATAACTTATATATCTTAAAACTCATTAATTTAAAAGTTAATAATGTTTGTAGTTTTTAAGCTTCGACCAAACCTTGCCCAAAATGACATGAGCACCCTTTCCTGTGTCTAATTGGTCTTGGGGTAGATTTGTCGTCTAAACCATATTTTTCCTTCAGTTTTCTTTCATCTAAGAGGGGGAAAATTTAATGCATTATGACTCAAACCAGCTACCCCTTCTAGTCATAATTGAAGCTTGTCCACTAGGCTGTGGCCTATGACCAAGTTGTAAATGCAAAGTAGGAAGCATATTAGTGAACCATTTTTTCTTGAGCAAATTGGGCAGGTGCTCTGCCAAGTCATTATAGGAGAAAGCAGAACAACAGATAGTGTTCAGAACTTAGTTACAACCAGAAAGAAAACAAAGGAAAGATCAAAACTCGACACAGTCTCCCTAGCTAAATGGAGACAGAGAACTACTCAGTGACTTCATTTGCCACCGTTTGGGACAATAGAGCTACATCCTGCATAGCCTCATCCACAATCTGTTGTGGTGACTTTGCCTTGTCAAAATGCTGCGATAACGTTTTTTCCAAATATTCCATGCTGTATAAGTGATGATTTGGTTTTGCTGGATGGTGTCTACATTATCAGCTGTTTCTAGTAATTTGTTCCACCAGTGCTTAATATTTGTTGTGATTACCTGCACAGCAAGTCTGTTTGCCCAGAACCATTCTGGACGAGTTGCCAAACTTGTTTACTGCAGGGCCATTAGGTGGGAGTGAGATTCTGGTCTAGTGAAACACAATTTGCAGATGGGGTCCGCTTGTCCGCCTTCCTTGATTATCCTATCTGAAGTTGGTAGTTTCTGTTGTAGGAGCAGCCACAGAAAGAATTTACATTTTTGTTCGACCTTGCCCTTCCAGACCCTGTTCCATCTCAAGTCTGGATGTTTCCCAATTTCTTGCACTTCATATGCTGATTTAGCTTTGTATGATCTTGATGTTGTAAACCTCCAAGCAATATCCCCCTCCTCTGTAGTCAGGGTGACATCCTGCAATTGTGCCTAGAGATGCACGAATTGGCGTAGTTCTGTGGCTGTGGTCATCCGCCTTAGACCGCGCATCCATGTCCGGTTCGTGAGAGCCTTGGTGACACTTTGGTTTTTGCGGAGTGCAAGCTTGAAGCAGCTTGGTGCTTTGTCTTTTGGTACTGTGCCCTTGAGCCAATTGTCTGTCCAAAATTTTGTTTTTGAACCATTGCCAACATGTATCTCTGTGCAACACTTGAATAGCTCTTTTTCTGTGTTGTTGAGGCTGATTGGTAATCCAGCAAATGGTTTATCAGGAGCTTTCCATTTGAGCCATGCCCATCGGAGACGCAAGGCTCTATTGAATGCAGCTAAGCTCTTGATGCCCAGCCCTCCTAGTGTTTTTTGAACTGCATACTCTAGTCCAGTTTACTGGACAGTGGCCCCTCCTAGCATCATCCACCCCTTTCCATAAGAAGTTTCTTCTAATTCTATCTATACACTTAATAGCCCATTTGAAGAGTGGGAATGCTGTCATATGGTACGATGGAATGGCTGAAAGTACTGATTGCACCAGCGACAGACGCCCAGATTTTGTGAGTAGCTTCCCTTTCCAACCTGGTAATTTGGCTCCAATTTTGTCGATCAGCACCTGTTCTGCTTCTCTACGCAATCGCCCAATATGCAGAGGTAATCCAAGGTATTTGCATGGAAATTGGCATACCTTCCCCTGAAAATTTCCCATCAATGCAGATTCACCACAGCTAATTTGTTATACCTCCGTCTGATATTTGCTTCCAATCCGGTTGCTGTCCTGAAGGCAGCTAGTATCCTCTGGACGGTTGTGAAGTCTTGCTGTGTGGGTTTAATAAAAAGTGATGCGTCATCTGCATATAAGCTGGTTCTTATCCTGATTGGGTCGGATCCAATTAGGGAGAGGATTCCTTGTTCAGTTGCCTTCTCAAATATTTTCTGAATTGGATCAATTGCTAGGATGAAGAGCATCGTTAAGAGTGGATCCCCCTGCCTAAGTCCTCGTTGGTGCCATATGGATGATCCCAGCAAACCATTGAGAATGATCCGAGATGAGGTGGATGACCAGATTAAGCAAATGAGGTCCCGCCAGCATTCTCCAAATCCTAACCTCTGTAGAATTTCCAAATATAATCCCACCTGATACTGTCAAAGGCCTTGGTAACGTCCAGTTTCAGAAATAGCATTGGCATTTTCGAGCGGTGGAAATGGTTGACAGCACCTTGCACATATTGAAAATTATCTAGGATGCTCCTTCCTTTGATAAAGACGGTCTGGCTATGTGAGACCAGATTGTTAAGATGCGGAGACAATCGGTTTGCCAACAGTTTTCCCATTATTTTGGCGTTGCTGTGCATAAGACTTATCAGTCATAGTCAGCAGCTGTTATGACTCCTTTCTTCACTATTAGGATGACATTTGCTGAATTGAGAAGGTTCCAGTTTGAAGCTCTGAGGTTGTATAGTTGGTGGATGGCTTGCATCAAGTCGTGCTTGACAATTTGCCAACATAAACAGACCTGTGAAGCCATTGGGGCCCGAGGCTTTTTCAGGCTGCGCCTCAAAAATCACCTTCTTAACTTCTTCTGTTATTGGGGTGTCCAACTGCTCTAGATCGTGTCTTTGTATGTTCAGACTCTCCCAGTTCAATGTTCATTCTTGGTGGGTTGCTGTTGAAGAGGTTTGTGTAGTATTGTAGCAGGATGTTTGCCTTGTCTTGGTGTGATGTAGCAGTTTTGTTCCCCATTTTTTAGTGTGGGAATGTAGAAATTCACATTTTCAGATTTCATCTAATTTTTTTTACTGCAATTTGGATCGAAACTTTGTGAATTTAGTTAAATTCAGCTGCGAAAGACATTTTTAACAAATCCAAATCCAAATCGCTGAATCAATTAGCTACTGAACTGTTGTTTGTAGTTCATTTCGTATGCTACTGTTTGTTCATATGTAGTAGGTGCAATCAGTAACTACTAAATATTGTTGCTTGTGGTTTCATGTGCTACATTTGTTCATATTTAAGTAACAGGAGCAGTCAATCTAACAATTGAATCCTGTCATTTGTGTATGGTTCGTACATTGCCATGGATTAGTAAGCTCTAGGCGCCATGAAGATAACTTCTGAATTTGTGGCCTGCAGTTTGGTTCGTTATTGTTGGTATTCATGATAATTTGTCGTTTCCATAAGGATGTGAACATTGCCCCATTCTAATAAATTTGTAAAGTTTCTTTTTTGAAATTATGAATGACAAAACTGGAAATGATAGAGAATTTCATTTACTATGTGTATGACACATTTGTTTAAAAATGAATGTAAATAACACATGTAATACCTAAATAAAACTGAATTTGAAAAATGTGCCTTGTCAACTGAACATGAAGGTCACTAGATCATTCAATGTCTAGTCTATTGAGCTTGTTGACTTCTGTATATCATAATTGACTTATGTTGCCTTATGTCATGCAGTGCTATCCGCGAACAGTGAGACACAGACTATAATGAAAGGGATAAAGCATGGAGCCTGTGATTATATGGTAAAGCCAGTGCGCCTCGAACAGCTTAGGGGCATATGGACACATGTGGTTAAGAATAGTAAGACTGGTGATGCTGCACGGAAGTTGCCATCTGGGGATGGTGATGAAGTTGAGAAGGTTGGAGCAAACCACGCCAAGAAGTATTCAAGGAAAAACAAAAAGGCTGTGGATGTTGCTGATGAGGACAACGAGAACACATCAACCCAGAAGAAGCTTAGGGTCCAGTGGTGTGGTGAACTACACTGGAAGTTTGTACAAGCTGTCAATCAGATTGGCATGGACAGTAAGTTCTCACATTCGTCTGTTAAATCTGTTTCTCTTAACAAATATTTTGTTGCTGTAAATGCAGGGGCTGTTCCTAAGAAGATATTAGTGTTTCTCTTAACAAATATTTTGTTGCTGTAAATGCAGGGGCTGTTCCTAAGAAGATATTAGAAGTCATGAATGTGGAAGGCCTTACTAAAGAGAATGTCGCCAGTCATCTGCAGGTTTGGTTTCTACTCATGCTCAATCGCTATGCTTGTGTTCCCATCCACTCTATTATTGTTAAAGATATTTGGATAGAACTTGTTTCTGCACCATTTCCATCTCAAACTCAATATTGTGTTTATGTCAATGGAATTTGTGTGTCTGACACTTCAACAATTCAACTGGAGCGTGTGTCTGCCACACACGAAGTTCTAGTGGCGTTACACACATGTATTGAGTCTGGAGTTAATTTTCTCTCTCCTGAATTTCTTTTTCTTTCACCCCATGATTAAGAGCCCACTTCACTCATTTTATGGCTTTGTCATTTTTTTCTTAACAAAATGCACTTGTCTATTTTGTGATTTCAGAAGTACCGAATCTACCTCAGAAAGCTCAACGAGGGCACACTGAGGAATTCTAATCCATTTGCTGATGAAACTGAAGCACTGCGGAGAAACATGAATGTCCCATCCTTCATTGGCTCTCCAAGCTCAAGCAACCATTTTGCAAAGATGAATTCCTCATCTGCAATTGGAACGCAAGCTTCGCTGCCCACAGAGTCAGTTCAGGTCATGAGCTCCCAACTGGGCATTCCTCCGTCAAACATGGAACCAGTTGGTCACAGTGTCAACCTGCCCAAAGATGTTGTGCCTATGCCAGTGCAGGATATCAGCAGATTCAACACTTCTGGCAAGTCCTACGCACCTGTATCGAGTGGTGGGCTGCCAGGTGCAAGCCAGTGCTTCCGTTCTGGTCCTTCTGGCAGCTCCTTTGCAAATAGTTCAAATGGTGTGGTGTTGAACGCAAGCAAAGCTTTCTATGCTGATATTTCTGGGAGTTCATTTGCAAATATCTCAAATGACAGTCCACCATTGACCTCGAACATGTCCTTTTCTTCGTCTCGTTCCTGCAGCTCCTATGCGAGCATGTTGCGTGCCAAGATTTTGGGGTCAAGCAGAGGTATTCCTTTCAAAGACATATCAGATGGTGAGATGTTGGCTCCTTCTGGTCATTTACCATTGCAATCTCCTGACTTGGTGAACCAGCCTTCGGTTCAGCTTCAATCATGTTCTGCTGGCCAATTTAACAAGGTTGCCAGCGAAGTTCACCAAATTGCAGGACCTAGCAACTCCTCGAAAGTTGCTGTGCCGTCAAGGTTTTCTGATCTTGGTCATAATGTTGGAACATCTGAAGATCCTTCGCAGGGTAACATTTCCAAGATCAACCAATTGTCAAGATTTGCAGGCTCCTCTGGACAGATTCCAACTTTCGGAAATGAGTATCAGAAGAAAATTGCAGGAATCATGGGGAACACCGTACCAATGGTAGGTTTCAGAGAGCAGGTGGCAACATTTAGTTTTGGAAACAACACGCACTCTACAGCGACGCCGATTGGCAATTCTGCTTTGGCTAGTTCTTCAAGCACCAGACCTGACCTTCAGATAGACAACAATTCTGCCATGCCGACCCAGGTGCTGAATGGCGGTGGTGCAAGTGACAACCTACATGTAGGTAGCACTGTTAATCAGCAAGCTATTAGTGACCAAGTGAATAACATCAATGATTTCGTCATGGGAACATGTGAGGAACAGAATGGGGAGAGCTATGACTTGGATGATTTCGTCATGGGAACATGTGAGGAACAAGTAAGGTCCTTTCTCCACTTTTTTTATGCAAAAAATCTGTCTCTGTCCTGATTTTCATTGAATTCCATTTCGCATTTTTGTGCAAAAGTAAATTAACACATGAGGAATTTACCTAACTGATGTTGGTTTAATTACTTCTAGTTGTTAGTACTCAGCGCATTGCTCATCAATCATCATGCTTGTTCATGCATAACTCGACCATAAGACGTGTTAAATTGCTAGCTTATTTTAAATTTATTTCTTCTATACTATCTGGCTTTGCATGTGGAATTGATGACTACTACTTATATGATGTTTATCTAACTGAACTAGTTTTCTTTCAGCAGGATTTCATCAACAATGGTGGTCCTTTCATCGATGGGGACTGGGAGTTTGCCCCTTGACGTCATCTCTGGAAAAGAGATGTTTCTGCATTGCCCAGCTGCTAACCAATTCATGGTTCTTGCATGTTGTATGCGCAAATTTGCACTAGTTGTAGTAGGCTAGCTAGGAGCAGGCCATCTTGGATGGAATCCCCATGTTTCTCTAGTGTAGTCATGCTGGTTCTCTTTTGTACCAGCTGTAGCTTTTAACCTTTGGTGTTAAGTTTGGCAGGAGGTGTGGGTTTCCCACCCCTGACCTATGTGTTCCTCTTCGGCTTGAATTTTGGTGGTCATGTTTAAGGGGGTTCTTTTTTAAAGTTATGATCATAGACAAAGTTATGTGAGATAGATCCAGTTTCCATGTATATTTTTGCTATCTAGTGGTATGATTTTCATGGACTATTTGAACTTTTGTATTCCATCTGTTTTTTAATTAACGAAATGCTGCTATTTCTTGAAATTATATTGATAGCCGAGATCTTTTTGTATGGAACACTAGAACAGACAGAATAAGTGCAACACTAGTGACATTGTTCATTCATTACTATATTCCGAGCCAAATAAAAGTAGTGCAGGACATGAAGGAACCTTCAATTCATGATTCATGTACCTCTGTTGATAGTCTTGTGTATAAGAAAGGAAATGTCATTTTTCTTTTAATTATACAAAACTCAAACAATGTTTGATCTCCTTGACTTCAACACCAATGGCGCTTCCTCATGGAGTTTGTATCATATCCTGGTGGTAGTGATCTATTCATCCTTGTGATCTCAAATTCTTGTCTCCTTTACTGTCATATAAGTGTAAAATTGTAGAACGTTAATTGTTTTGTTTGCATATGGATTTATTTTACAAAGAGCACGGTCGGTTGTCTAGCTGTGTCAGCCCGCCTTAAATGTTTCCGACTGCGTCATTCCATTCCGTATACTCTAAAAATGTAATCGCTCCTCTAATCTACACCTCTTCATTTCTGTGCGTATGGTTTTCAGTACAGCAGTAGTAGGGCCGAAGACAAGCAGCTTGTAGTTTGCCGGGCAGGAGCAGTTTTCATACTGTCCAGTGTATGTTCGGTTAATCCCAAATATGAGAGGATTAAGGGGATTTGATCATCTTCCATATTGTCCAGTGTATGTTCGGTTAATCCCAAATCTGAGAGGATTAAGGGGATTTTTGTTTGAATAAGTCCTGAGCATGCTAACTAGCTATAGTTAGAAGTAGATCAGGATAGCTGAGCATGCTAACTGGCTATTGTTAGAAGTAGATCAGGATAGCTGCTGCGCGCGGTCATCACTGGCTGAGCGCGCACGCTCTCCACTGCACGGCCCAGGGCGCTGGGATGGCAGCGACCAAGCACGAGCGTGCCGTGATCCTCTCGGTCATTCTTGGCCGTCTAACACTGCATGTACTTAGTTTATATTCAAGTTCAATCAACAGAAAACGCTGCCGCTTTGCAGCACCAAAAATCACTTGTGTTCCACCTGTGTTCGCGTGCGTTCATCCACTCTCTCTTGCTCTCGCTGTGATTGGGATTCTGTCAATTGGCATCGGAGCCAGGTCACGCCACCACCATGTCGCAGTCGCCCAACAAGAAGGTGCTCCCTGGTGATGGCTCCGGCGAGAAGAAGAGCCCTCCGTCCTCGCGCTCGCCACGACGTCGCGGCCGCTCTCACTCGCGCCGATCGCGCACCCGGGACGCCGGGCCGCGCGTCATCGAGCATATCATCGAGAGGCCTTCCGCCAAAGTCGCGTGGCCGATGCTCACACGGACAACTATCCGGAATGGGCATTGGTGATGATGGTGAATTTCCAGACCTCGTGTCTGGGACGTCGTCTGCCACGGCGTCGGGGAGGAGCGCGACGACGTCGACGACCGCGACGATCGACAGGCGATGGCGGGTCTCCTGCGCTCGGTGCCCTCCGAGCTCTGGAGCACTCTCGCCAGGAAGGACATGGTGAAGGAGGCCTGGGATGCGGTCAAGAATATGCAGATCGGGGACGAGCGCGCGCACGAGGCTAGCGCGCAGCAGCTCCGCCGGGACTTCGGCAACATCACCTTCAAGGAAGGCGAGTCCGTCGACGAGTTCGGCATCCGCATCACCAACCTCGCCAACAATCTTCGCTCCCTCGGCGACAACATCACCGATGCTGAGGTAGTAAAGAAGTTGCTGCAGGTGGTGCCGGATCGGCTGAATCAAGCAGCGGTCTCCCTCGAGATGTTCCTCGACCTGAACAACGTCATGGTTGAGGAGGTGATCGGGAGGCTGCACGTCTTCGAGGAGCGCACCAAGCCGAAGCAGGTCACGGACGCCATGGGGCGCCTGATGCTCTGCGAGGAGGACTGGGAGGCCCGCCGTGAACAGGAGAACTCCGGAGGCAGCGCGGGATCCAGCAACCGCGGGAAGCACCGAGGGCGTGGACACGGACGCGGTGGTGCAGGCTCCTCATCGCGTGATGGCCGCGATGGCCAGAACGCGGGCGCCGGGAACGCCGGTGGCGGGAGGCCACCACCCGACGATCGCTGCAAGAACTGCGGCAAAACTGGCCACTGGGCCAAAGACTGCCGCGGGATGAAGAAAGACGCTGCCCACGTCGCGCAGGCCGAAGAAGAAGGGGCCCTGATGTACATCGCGGCAGAAACTGAGGTAACCACGCCGCCCAAGTCCCCTTCACTTCCAAGGCCAAGGACCTAATGCGGCGGATGATGTGCCGCGACGTCTCGAGAAGGTTCTCCGCCGAGCAAGTCCTCAGTAAGTCGTCGGATCTTTGCGTTATCTCGATTTCGTGTTGCTGCGTTGAATATTAGATTAGATTCGGTCTTCTTTCCTATAGATTATTGAATCACAATCCTATTGGACGCTAGCACACGGCGAGATAGGGCCGGTGATCAGAGTGCATGCGGCGCTGCGTTTCGAGAAGAGAAAGTGCATGTTGAATAAGCAAAGAGGGGTATTTTGGACATCTTCACTGGTTGGGCCCATGTGTCAGGGCAGTCACACGGCGAAAAAACGATGGAAGGTGGACGGAATGGCGTGGAAGACAAGAAAGTTTAGCGTCATGGCACCAGGACGTGTTCGAACTTTTCAGTGGCACGTAGACCAGGACCATCTTTCATAGTGACACACAGGTAAAAGCCTCAAAGGACAAGGAGTACTGCGCGGCACTTCCTACTAGTGTGATTGGTACCAGTAGCTGATCATAATTTCCTCTAGATTTAGATGGAAATTCAATATTAGAGTGAAAATGAGTAAACCTGTTCATCTTCATGCATCGGCGGTTACGATTGCTGCAACTGAAGATGGTCAGGCTTCTCTCAGTTTTCAAACATTGTTCGGCTACAACTTGTTTCATAGATTGTTTTCATTTACTTATAAAATAACAGCACTTATGCAGGGAAATAGCTCTGCTCTTGCCCGAAATAACCATGTTGTGCAAAGAAACAATTAAGAGCTGATTATGCCACACATTTTAGTTGCAAACAGTTAAAGCCGGCAGTTAAGCCGCCGATTTCTCTTTTTTATAAAAAAACATGTAGCACTTCAGTAGCCTGAAAGGCCGAAACCCTGAATGTTGATATTAACCTCCGTTCAGAATCCATAAGCCATACTACGCTTCCATTCTTTACCTTCATGCCCTACAAGTAAGTTTTACTGAAACGATATCGATGCTCGAGTGACTGAATTCTGATGCTAGCTGACAAGAGTCAAACATAGGGGTATGCCGACCAAAGGACCTCTGACCGATCTCACGGATCGCTCGGGGGCTAAACCCATCGGGTACACTCACGCGCACCCTCTGGAAGGAGTTAGGCCGAGGCCGAGCATGCCCGCAGCCGCTCCTCGGGGCTTGGGGGCTCGCCAGAGCCCGGACTGCCGAGCCAAGCCTGACTTGTACCCAGTACCGACCCGAGCTATCGCTCGGACGCCCGGGCAACGCTCCAAGCCACGGACAACCTGCCGAGCATCCGAGGCTCGGCGGGCGCTAGGACTCTGCAGTGCCGCCCCGACCAACGGGCGCGGGGCGCTGTCCACCTGCTCCCTCAACACGGTCACGCAATCGGCGTGACACAATGCGACAAGTGGCTACACCAACTCCGGGGGCAGCGGGCTCTAGGGCCCAATTCTCAGCCCCTCAGGGCGGGGCTCCTGCATGGCCAAGGAGGCCTTGAGAAGGTTCACCCAAGGGAGGCCGAACTACAGCAGACAGCCCCTGACGGTCAAGTGTCAGGTAGTAGCAATGTCAGGCGGTGCCTGCAGCTCCACCCTACACGACGAGGTCGAGGTCTATCCACGTAGTGATAGCACCCTCCTGCACCTGGCGCATGAAGACCATAGACCGAAGCACCAAACTGACTTGTACCCAACCTTTCTCGGAATATAAGGGGAGGGTCGGCTCCCATAGAGAGAAAGAGGGCAAATCAGACAATGAGAAACAGAGGAACAGTAGAGCGTTCCCCCGTCAACCCAGCTAGAGAGAGGCGGGTTTTTCAGTCGCCAGGATGAACCTCACAGTCGACGAGCCATAGGATAGCACCGAGTGATCCCCTGCCAAACTCTAATTTTCTTCCATTGTAACCCCTGATTTGGGTGCTCCTGAACACGAAGAACACTTCACTGCTTAGCCCGAACCAAGATAAACCGCTGTGTATCCCTTGTGTTTTTGAGTAACTAAGCCACCGGAGACCCACACTTCCGACATCCGATGAACAACCACGATGCTTACTACGGTTATGAACCCACAATAGCTGGTGCGCCAGGTAGGGGAGTGTGTCGAGTGTGATTTTGGTGGCCGGAGCCACCAACCTCATCGCCACGATAGGCGGCACCACCCCAGAAGATCGCGTCTGCTTCTCCGGCGAGCTCATCATTACAGCCGGGCCTTCGTCCCCGCCCAAGTTCTCAACTTTGGGAACTTGGTCTACGTCACTGACTACTACGACCAACTTCACCCCAACAAGGAGGCCGTGTCGGTGGACAGTGAGTCCCCGGTGTCATATCCTCCGCCAGGACTCCTAGGAGCGGACC